AACATTTTATAATGCTTATTTCAGAACTGCAACTGAGACCACTTGTGTGTGTGTGTGTGGGGGGGGGATGGTGCGCAGCGCTGTGGCTTCTGAATAAATGAAAATGATTTAACACAGTTGTTTATACTTTTAGCAGCTCTTTTTATTCCACAGATGACCTGCTAAAAATGAAAGATTTTCTTTTCTGGATCTCTGASAGACGGACTTCAATCTCTGAACTCGTAAAGTTTTTATTTTTTAGTTTTCGCAGTCATTTTCATGAATAGACACTTCCTGATGTCTGAGGCAGGAAACATAGCCTTATATGGTGTTTTTGGGGTGGTGATTATGCTAATCTCCATGCATGCATGAGCAGCTGGATAGAACAGGTGGAATTTACGCAGCTCATTTACACACTTTTCCTGAAGATAGAAGCGTTTGTTGAATCTGACGTGACATGTTCGTACGAACCCTTCATACGAACAAAAGTAAGAGAAATTCAGGATAAGAATACGAACATGTTCTTGCATGAGGCCCAATTACCCCAATGGTCCAGAAAGGAAGAAGCAGGTATAGATAATGGATGGATGTTTTTGATAATGTTTGAAGTGATTTTCAGTTTGAAAAAAATAGTTTACTTCTGAGCTAACGGCTAGTCTGAGCGAGACCACTACTGAAATGCATGGCTGCTATCTAAATGTATTTGTACACCATGGTGGCAAGACAAGGTTCTCATCAAGGCACCATTTAGGAGGAGGTTTCATGTTGTTTGCTCCTCCTTCTATAGCTTTTGCCCAGAGTTGGAACAAATGTCCATGTTGGGGTAAATGACACTGACAGCTCTTGTTAGAGCAGAGCTGGAGTTTGGTACCTTWCCTGGGCTTTGATTTCTTAAGGGCCCAGTTGAAGCTGAACAGTTGACACTGGGTCATGTTCAACGTTTGTTTATTTGCACACACATCTTATTKCCCATGCAACACAGGGCCGAACTCCTGGGAAAATCAGGAATCCGCCATTATTCTGTCTACAAATCTATCACAGGTCAAAGCGCCACAGTTCTTGTCTGACAGATTCCTTGGTGCACAATGTCTGTTTTATCTCTATCTTTTTGGCCATTTGACTCTGTTTTTGGGTACAACATTTGGATTCTAGTAGAGTAGCTGAAGCAAAATACAGTGTCCCTTCTCCTGTTGGGTTGTGACAAGAAAGTGTGGAAAACTCGAAGCTGCGAACAAAATGACATTTTCATTAAGCAACTGCAACAATGAGAGTGAATTTTATGCATAGGCCTTTAGTGTGACTGCGCTACAAAATCAAATGACCATATATTCCGCGAATTGACTGTGGCTACTCTTTGGTAGAAAACCAAAATGGTCCAAGACAATACTGTGATACCACAAAGTTAAAGGTTGAACAGAATCGCTGATGGCTAACAAAAATCTGTATCTATAATATCCACTGGCTTTAAATTCTGTGCTCACTCAAACTTTTAGAAAACATACATTTTTTATCAGTTCTCAGATGCTTCAAATGATAAACCTACTGGTAATTACATTTTTTTAACATTGTTTTGTAAAAATGTGATAAAGCAGCTCTCATATCTCTTTTTCCAGAATCATATATTTAAAGTTATACATTGTAAAGTAAAGATCATTACTGCACTTCTGAACACAGTTAATTAGTTTGACATAATGAATCCACACTTAGAACAAAGATACAAGCCGTCTTGTTTAAACAAACTGATTGTTTTTCTTCGTGGGGTGATACGCTGCCACGAGTCGAGGCATCTGCGGTGTCTGTAAAGGCTGGAAATGTCGCTTCAATCAAAATTGGTTTCAATTAAAGTTATTTTACCTTGGCTGATGAGAGAGCTGGAGGTACTGAAGATAAAATCTGTAAGATATTACCAGGGTTCTGGCAGAAAATTGGACCTCAGAATTGAAGCTAATTGAATTTGAGAATGATAAGGTTGAATGCGAGGAGCTCTTAAAGCGGCCAAGAAAGGATGAGTGAAGGGAGATCAGAATAAATGAGGAAAGTAATGAGATAGAAAAGCTTATATTTAATTGGACAAAGATGAGTGTAAAACCTCCGTTTTTTAGCAGCTTGAATGCGTGAAGATCTGTGTCTTGAAATGCTCTCGGAACACCTTATCTTTGTCTTTGCAAGAGGACAACGGTGGGACAAAGTCACGACTAAATAAACAGAAGCTTGTTTAATCTTGTTTATGCTGCTTGTGAATAAATAGATAATGCTGTTTTGCTTTATTATGGCCCACGGGAAACTGCTCTCCACGTGGAGGTCAGAGCACCGGGTCAAGAACAGCAATCATGAATCTGGTGGGGATTCATCGTCCTGTTTTAAGGGTAATTCAGTGCGGAAGCAGTGCTGCGCTCGTCAGGAGAACCCTGTTTTCATTCTGCCTGAAGGACACTTTTTTAAAAACACATTATATGAAGAGCAGAGGGAGCAAAATTACACAGATACTGCTATGTTTGATGAAAAAGTAACAGAGAAATTCAAAACGTCATGCACTCATCTCAAACAGATGTTTTGCTAACTATCTGAACATTAATGGGATAGCTTAGTTTAGTTTAGTCATGTTTCAATTTAAGAGACAGACTAATATAATTTTATGGCCTAAATACAAATATGTAACTCTGAACATCTCTTCTATAGATGACCTTCAGTTCATCAGTTGACATAAAACACAAACACCTCTTGAATTGAATTTCACAAACAAAATGCTGGTTTAGATTCTCAGTCAACATTGTAAATAAAATGAAAAAATTAAAACTTCTATTCTGTGGCTGGAGATGTTTTGCTTCTTGTCCAGAATGGTACACGGTATAATACAAATGTTTTTAGGACAATTGACACTAAATCAATTGTGGACAGTGTAATTTTTTGTCATTCCTTTTTTTAATTTTAAAATTAATTATTCACAAAGTAGAAAAGAGACTGTTATTCCATTTTCATTTTATACTCCAATTCTTTTTTTCAAACCAAAATATTATCATTGTTGTGAAAGCAACTCAACACTTTCCTGTGGAACATCAACTTCAAGTTCATCACGAGGCAGCTGTTGGAGAAAAGCTTCAGGTGCTAAAAGCGCCAGTAAACTGCTTCAGCTGATACCTGTTGAAGAAATGTAAAACTAGTTAGCAGTTATTTATTGTGACTCCCTGGTTAGCTACTAATAAAGTAAAATGTGTTTTATTCACCTCATAATCAGACCATTTAAGTTAGACCTAGATAAATAGTTTTATAAAAAAAATTAGCTTGACTAGCAACAATAAAAAATACAGTCTACAGTTTGTTAAAGGGATCCCCGATTAGTCATAACATTAGACTTTATATGATAAACATATACTTTAACTGTAAAATAAAGACTGTAAAAATACTGTAGGATGTTCAG